CCGGGCGATATTTCAAGAAGATTTTGAGCTTATGCAATGTAATTTTATATCAAAACTCCCTATACGTTCTCGCCCCTCTCAAAAGCGCCCCGCTTGAAAAGTGGGGGATATTAATTTGGGTTTGTCCTGCTGTCTGTCCGTCTGTCTGTCTTTCTGTCTGTCTGTAACGCTTTCGTTTCCACACGATATCTCGAGAACCCTTTGAGCTTTTGCAATGAAATTTAGCATAGCAACTCCCTGTGGACTAAAGAAGACCCCTATTGATTTTGAGGTCAAAAGGTCAAAGGTCAAGGTCATAAATAAGCAAATTCTGTCTGTTAAAACACTTTCGTTTCCACACGATATCTCTAGAACCATTTGAGCTATTGCAATGAAATTTTATATAGCAACTCCCTGTGGCCTAAGGAAGACCCCTATTGATTTTGAGGTCAAAAGGTCAAAGTTCAGGTTGTAAATTTATACATTCTCTCTGTTTTGATGATTATTTCCGGGCGATATTTCAAGAAGATTTTGAGCTTATGCAATGTAATTTTATATCAAAACTCCCTAGGACGTCTCTCGCCCCTCTCAAAGTGCCCCGCCCCGTTTGTTTTATTAGTATTTATAGTATTACATGTCGCTATTTTTAGCGCAGGGGCATGAGGAGAGTTATTGCGTATAAAACAGGTTCTCGCGGACTTTATGTTCTTATTACATCTATTAGAACTGTTTAATAAAGGCTAAATAAATCAAACACCATGGATTGTGTAAAATTTTGAGAATACCGAACATGAAAACATGAATATATACATGTATGTGACTTCACTTCTGCATATACGTCGCACCATAAAGCGATTCCGTGGTCTAGTGGTTATGTCTTGGCCTCAAGTGTGAGAGATCCCGGATCAAATCTCGGCCGAACTGTACTTTTTTTTTTTGTTTTTTTTATACTTTTTTTTTTACTAAATGATAGTATTCAGAATGTGAAATGAAAAATTTATGAGGTTGACGCAAGCGTCAAAAATCGGCCGCAAACCAATTTACATAACTGTTGAAAGTATTTCAGAAACTTAAATTTTCTGTTGTTTTTTTTATTTCTTATATTTATCTGTTAAAATATCCTCGTGACGCGAAAAAAAAAATGCATGCGACAATGCCGATTTTCTTCATGCATAATGCATGTACAATATTACATGTATAGGCAATATAAACTGTGCATAGTCCTCTGCGTCTCTGCACTCAGTTTGGTGCAACTTAACGAACTCTGGTGAGTTTGCTGTTAAAGTAGTTTTTACATAAAACGTACAAAACTAAAGTTTAAACTTAGCTATACTTTTACCTTAATAAAAACGCAACAAATATATATAATATGTGGGGCTCCTCGCTCTCTCTTAGAGGATGTTAACCCCCCCCCCCCCCACTCCTTCTAGATCCACCACTACATTTCTTCTCTTTTGGTGTTGAGATGTGGCGGGAAAATGTTTGGCACATTGTAAAACGCGCTCTATCCTAGTCTCCTGGACTAACATGTCGTAATATTCATTGCTTTTAAGAAATCAATATTTCATCATATTTTTGAAAAACATCCATAGCAAATGTTTAAATATACACTTCATTTCAAATAAATACAGCAGATCCTGTTTTAAAAAGAGAAAGTAAAATTGTTGATTTACAACGCGGTCTCTGTTTTAGACTATGCCTAACACTCGTACTAATTTTCTCCGCACTTCAGTTATATCAGAGTTTGTCAATCAGGATTGGATGAAATATTTACCCCATTATTTATAAAATTTAATTGTACGATAATTGTGCTTTTTCTTAAACATTTAGACAATCTTTGTTTAATATTGATTCGCCGGCGATATGAATGTTGAATATTTTTATTTAAATTGTTAACTCCGCAGAAACGCACAGCGACTTAAAACTTTCATATCATATAACCGACCGCCTCCTGGCGGCCGGTAAAAACAATTGATTACCCCTTTTGAGTTCAACATGGTGAAATAAGGACCCTCGACCTGGCCCACTCGATGACCTGCCCTGACCTCGGCCGCTACGCGGCCTCGGTCAGGTCAGGTCACCTCGTTGGCCAGGTCTCGGGTCCTTATTTCACCATGTTGACCTCAAAAGGGGTAATTAATTGTATAATAACTTTTTTGTAATATGTATTGTTGATTTTAGTTTTAGTCATTTGTTATTTGAATAAATGACAGTTTCACTTATTTGTGTTTTTGATGAATTATACAAGAGGTTAAGCAAAAACAAGCTTCAAATAGCTAGAGTTGTTTTATCTCATTATCAGGAAAATTTGTGGATATAATTAACTCCTTTTTATCACTTATAACATAAATTCTCGAAGCTATACCAAACGCATTGATGATAGATTTTTACTTACTCAATGTAGCTATGTATTGAGTGAACTAAATTCCTTTACACTTTAGAATCCTTAGGCTAATTAACGACTATTAATGATAGATTTTTACTTACTCAATGTAGCTATGTATTGAGTGAACTAAATTCCTTTACACTTTAGAATCCTAATTAACAACTATTAAACACTTTTATTGACAATTATTAAGTAATTATACGAAGTTTTCAAATACAAATGTAAATGTAACATCAGTTTGCCTGCCCACTGAATTCTTTTGATAAAGTATTAGTAATTGGTGGCTTGTTAAAACAGGTGAATGTAACTATATTGAAAATCGATTGAAATCTTTGTTGATCAGTATATAAATAAGGTATTTAATAAAGCTAAATTTCTCACCAAAGTTGTAATACAAATACATGTAATACATTATTTTGAATCCAATATTACACTGGATTTTGATGTTAAAATGGTGAATTATTTTTAATAGATTAGTATTATTTGTAAGACGTTATTTGATTGGATAAAAGATTTATTTTATATTATATAACATAAATAACCTATGTCACAATGAGTTACGTCAAAATCGTATTACTCTGCTTGACGTAACTTTTAAAATAATTAGATATGCTCAATTTGAGCCAATTTTAGAGGAACAAATTGTATTATTGTCAACACTGAAATCAGATTATACGGGATTGTGCTTATTTTAATCTATGTTTCACTATCAACACAACTTAGTTTTTTTTTTATAAACCATTTCGCTGTTTATAAAGCGTAAACTGTCCCATTAGTTATGTTATATATTGTATAACATAGGTTAAAATAAGCTCCACTCCTTAATTAAAGATAAATTTAATTTTAAGCTTAAAAAACTATAGAGTTGAAAATTAGTGCCAAATATGTCGAAGGATCAGAGTTATGCACGAGGGAGATAATCCTTAATTTTTTCCAGCAGCTACTGCGACATGGGAACTTGCTTTATCAGGTCGAGTCCACTAGATTTTCTGACGTCAGAATAAATTTGCATGTAAATCAGCTAATATGTTTACTTTACCTACTGCTGAATGAGCCGCAATGCATTGTGGGCTACTACAAGTACCTAGCTGTGTTGAAAATTAAAGGCAACTTGAACTGTCCCCTGGAAACTTATTTTCAATTCTTTTTTAGAAAAAGAAGCATTCATTTAAACATGTTCATGTAAATCCTCCCAAAAAATTGATGTGCCTTACCTTAAAGCTGCAGCTGTTGAAAACTTTCTTCAGAAGACATTTGCTTTGCTTCAACTTGTATTCTTTTAATTCGATTCTAGAAGACTACATGTTCAAACGGTTAAATCTTTCATAGTAGATCGTTCATAGTGAACTCTTTCTGAACGTCATTTTATTGTAACATCTTGTAGGGTATAAATATTTTCAGGACATATTTGGAGATCACGAACAGTATTCAAGTTCAAAATTTACTGAAATACAAATCAAGAGCAGAGCAAACACGGACCTCAAACATTAAATGATCATGCATATCGAATCAACTGAGAGATGTAAACCTCGTGTACAGGTAATAAAGGTACATTGCTGCATAAGTAAGGGAAGTTGACGATCGAAAAGATAAAGTCATCACGTTCATTATAAAACTTGGTTGTTAGATTATAATTCCCGTCCTTCCTTTTCTAGTAGAATATCCAAATATGAAACAGATATGTGTCAGATCGACTCGGCAGTGGTATTTTTTTTTCAAGCTCACCAGAATATATCTTATTGACCTAAGAATTAAAATAACCATTGTTAAATTGACAATATGTCGACGAATTATCTTAATGTCGAGTTGAAGGTAACAGGAATAGTTTTTTTTCTTTTCATGTAGTCGCACGCATGATGCAGTGGTTAGAGCGTCTGCTCTAGAGTCGCAAAGTAAGGAAGTGGGACCTGGAGACCGGTCCTTCGGATGAGACCGTATAAACCGAGGCCCTGTGTCGTGGTATACGTGCTGGTACGAAAAAGAACCTTAGCCTTTCTGCTCAATGACCATGAGTGCCGAGTATAAGACAACATTTTTAGCTCGCCACCAGCAAGTGGTGGCGTCTCTATATGAGTGAAAAATTCACGAGAGGACGTTTAACAAAATACAATCAATCAATCTTTTCATGTATAAGCTTTTGAAAAAATCTGCTTCATATGAATACATGTACAACAAGCTAATTCAAAGAATTCGTGTCCCCCGCTTAGGGAAAAAATCGGATCCCCCTGACTGAATTTGTAGAATTATTAAATGTATACATGTACATGTATACTGAAGCAAATAAAATACTTGTATGTCAATATGCATATAAAGATTTGATTGCTTATTCTTTATTATGTGTATAGAAGATTCTTTTTATATGGAATATTTATCACACTGTAATGATGATTTTATAACCTCATAAATTTTTCATTTCACATGCTGAATACTATCATTTAGTAAAAAAAAAAGAAAAGAAAAGTATTTAAAAAAAAAGATACGATACGCGGAATGGAAAATCTCGAAGGGTATGATTTTGTCTTTAGCAACAGATAGTTCTGAACATTATTATACATATTCATCTCAATTGAATATGCATTTAAAATTTTGAAACTTGGCATTTGAATTTTTTCTCGAATACTTCTGACAAAACCATCCCAGCAACAGAGTTGTTCATGTATTTAACATACCTTCCTATTTTGCTGACAAAATTCATTTAATTTCGTAACAGGTGTCTTTTCTAGCTTTTTCTCTGGAGTAATTTTCGTACTCCAGACCTCTAATGCGGCCTCCGCTGCTTTATCTTTTGCTGCCGTTTTATTGCTTCCAAGCCCAGTGTACACATCTTCTCCCAGAGTTAAAGAAGCAAGAAATCCTTCTGGGTGTTGTTCAAATTTACTGAAAATCTGAAAATAAAAACACGGAAATTTCAAAAACAATATAATTTATATTCTTATTTTACACATTTTACAAGGCCATCTTTGAAATTATTTTTGTATGCCCTCTCCAAGATCAGCCATAATTTTTGGATTGTTATCTAGGTGGGAAAATTTTTTTTTCGTTACGTTTACAGATATTTGTAGACAAGGAATAGAAAGGAAAAAAAAACACATGGAACGTAATTCCGTTTTAAATTGACTAAAATTTGAGCATGATCACTTTTTGTTATCTTTACAATAATTCAAATTGACAGAGGATCACATTGTAGTGAGAAATCCAGTTAACTAAATGCGTGGCACATATTTCAATACTACAAGGACATAACGATCTAGACTTGCCTCGGTTCATAAACGTTTTTCCTGGGTATGCTTTTTTAAACAATGGCTATATATAGATATATGGATTTACACTTACCGCTGTTTGATTTTTCTGAGCTAATTCATCTCATTGTTTGTAGCTACTTTTTGGTGTCTTGGGAACAAATCCTAACTTTCGGCCATTTTCAAGAGCTGCCATGGAAAGATATTAAGCACGTTGGTATTAATTTGCTATCATAACCATGCTATTAATAGCAATGGAAAAGCAAAGGGCAGTAACTCTAAAATTTGCTAAAATTTTGTTGTCAAAAAATGGTGTAAAAATAAACAAAAGGGTGGTAGTGTGTTACGGACTGATATAGTGAGATGACGACATGTACAGTCTTGAAAGTTTTCAAAAGACTTCTTGACTAATCATTTTCAGTGAGATGGGTATCGTCAAAAATTTCATGTACAGTCTTGAAAGTTTTTTAAAAGCAGTTTTTACAATGATTTTATATGAAAAGTCTGGAAAAACAAAATTTTACTTTTTCGAAATTTTTATGTACCGGGTATATAAAATCAATTATGTTTGGACGGTAAGTGTAATTGTATTTGAAAGATTGAACAATGAAAATAAATTATAATATGTACCTAATCATCACGATACGTATCCGGTATACCGGAAAAAAAAAAATAAAAATGAAATATTTCTTTCAAGAGAAAAAATTGAATTTCAGAATATACACCAAGAAGACCTGATTTTTTTGAAACAGAAAAGTAATTACTATGAGAATTTGATCTAAAATATTTTTTAAGACCTTGTATTCAACCCCGAATCATGTTTGGTCACATGGACTATTTTTGCCCGATAATGTTATTTGCCCTTTGCTGTCAGGATCCTCGTAAATTGCAAGGTGCAAAATGGTCACAGCACTATGTGAATATCTTGCTTTCAACAATTTAGTTTATTTTTACATTGTAGGGGTGACATACAATGATGAGGGTCATACCGGGGGGGAGGGGGGTTATTCAGCAAATAACAGTGTCAGCTTTTCACTTTTTATATTAGTTGTATTAATTAGAAATTGAAGATGGTTTTCTAAATACAAAAAATACACTCAAGAAATGATAACTTTTACTTGATAATTATATTTATAATATTATAACCCCCCCCCCTTTTTGAAGCCATTAGTTTATCCAAATGAAACTACAGATCAATTTGTTTTACCTCAGAAAAAAAAATAAAAATACTTCAAATTGAATTTAGAAATTACAGTACAATAAAACAGAACTTTGTACATCACATCTGACTGAGGGAAACAATATCTGTATTGTATAAGTAGGTTAATGAAACATCATTGGAGCTGGATTTCAGTCATGTAACTTCTTGAACATGAATATAATCATGCAATTGCATAATATATGATCATAATATATGAAGTTTCTATCTTGCAAAGAATAAAAAAAGAAGGTGAAAATGTTACCACACTTCGAACTTCAAATTTCTGCAACCATAAAGTATTTGATTTTCTTGTTAATGATATATTTGTATACTCTAGAAAACAATATTTAAATACATATCTTTTTGTTTATATAATTATTGTAAAGTACTTTGCATTAAATGAAGAATTGCAGCTTAGTAGATTTTGTCCCTTTAATTTTTTAAAAAATAGCAACACTTTTTTTTTCAAGATGTGAAAAGATGACAACAACAAAAATATAACTTTTTTATTTTTCAACCAATTTCGAAAAATGATACTGTTTTGGAAATGGTTTTGAAGGCTCTTAAATATAAAGCATTGCTTTTTAATCTGAGAAGTGCTTTTAAAAATCATGTTCTATAGCTACATGCTATTCCGAAGAAACATGCACACACTTTCATTTTCTCTTTCAAAACCAAAGTAAACAAAGTATGTTAATTTTCTACTCATTCATATCATATTAAGATCAATGATAGTTTCAAAAATGTACTAGTCAAGTATACAATTCTTTGATCCTATTTTTTTTTGCAGTGATTTAATTTATATCATAAAGAAGATCAATTAAAATACAGTGTTTCATCGCCATTCTCATTAATCATTGTTTTCTATGTTTTCCCTGGAGAAATATCGGTAATTGGTTATATATTTATTATTTCTCAAAATTACTTACCTGTGGAAGAATGCTTAGCACCGGTTTTCTTCTCTCTTGATATTTGAAATAGCAAACTAGCAGTGACATGTCAAGGTTTGTTTAAGTTTTAGGGTATTTCCACCTTCTAATTTTA